GAGCCACAGGATGAGCAAAAGCCGCTTGAGCAAGATGGCCCGGGTTGTGAGAACATTCTACGCACATACTGTTGGCACGGATGCAATAATAAACAGGGAGCAGGATGGCAAGTTGAAGCTGGTTGTCTTATCTGTGGGTACGGACCGGAGTTGGAGAAAGTCAGGGAGATTCACAAGACAAAGATGCACATATGCCCAACACACGGACCCGGTTGCTGAGCGCCCTCGAGGTTAATCAGATGTCACAAAGGCGGAATTTCGGTAAAGAATAGATTTGAGATGGCTGGCCAGGCGGGACCTTGAAGCTACACTGATGTTCACAATCACGTAGTAGGTTCCTGTAACTGATAGAATTTGTGACATGGGGCTTCCTTCTGACAATCGGGATAAGTGCCATGTTGTAGACATCTCTATATTCGTTTGCAAGTGTGCTTCCCTAAACCGTTTTCAATGTTGTTAACCGCTTACAAGGTAACACTGCCTGTTCATTACTACAATGCACTTGCAGCTATGAGCAGGAAGGTAGTATCAAACTTGAAACGACTGTAATGTTTACTACTATGGAAGAAGGTGAGTAGTCTGGTTTCATTACCGTAATCCAGCATAATGACCGTTTTTGTGAAATTTGTGTCCGGACAAGAGAATTTAGTCGCATTGAATGGTCAAAAGCAACGAAGTAAGCATTCAATGAAGGTCGATGGTAGAGATGATATTCTCGTCTCAAGGAAACAATAAAAATAGAGCAGTGACTGTAGTATAGACAAGCAACGACTTCTTCCAGCAGTATGCTAGTTATGAGTGTTATTTAGAGGCCCAAACCCGGCATTTTATGAAGGATGAGAAGTTGCAAATACGCCAGCAATATTGCACTCAGATTCTACCATGAAATACTTTATGTCGCTATACAATAGATACTCATCTCCTAGCCATCTAATGATCTCTGTTGAGTCTTCCACACGAGACAGGATGTCTTTGCAAGCTGCCTCCACCGAATCAAAGGCCTATAAGGGTGCATCAGAGCCAAAATCACTTTGCCTAGTGTGCCAAAAACGCCGATCAAGCAGGCACCACCTACATGCTAGCGATGTCTTAGATCGATTGATTTGTTCCAGGCATAGGTGTGCTAAAATAAAGCTCTCGCTTTATGAGGAACTCAGCAGGTCCGCCGTTTTGAACGACGACAATGACTTGTGCCACGGACTCCAGCCGTACGGGATTAAAGAGCTACCGACGGACAATGTGGCCGGCTGCTCAAAGGATAGAAAAGCAGAGCTTCCGGCAGATTCAGTGATTGGCAGCCATGTCCTTTGGGCTGATATGATGGAAGACAAAGCCCCCGTCGTCAACCTGGATTCCAAGCCCCAGAGAGGACGTTATGTAATCCATTAGGTCAGCGCATGTCTAGGGGCAATTTATAACTGTCAATCAAAAAGTTCGGCTGTTAGTTTAGTAGTAAGCCTGTATGTGAATATAACAGCATCTATCTAGAATTCCAGACGAAAATAGAAAAAGCCCATAAGCGACATCTTGATCTCTGGCCCAGAATAAGCGTACATACATCGATCAATGCCCACAGGCCAAACATAGGAAGTACATTACAGTGGGCACAGGTTGAATGTCAGTAAGTGGACTTATATTTCACCGTGTGCTGTCGTTCATTTCACCCAAAGGTCATTGCATCCCATTTGCTGACCTGTAAACAACGACACCCCTTAAACCATCTACTTTTGTTTCACTTCTACTACGCCTAAAGCAGATAATAATTGACTATGGAGAGTGGGTACCTAACAGCATAGTGTGAGTCAAGAGTGGCCGAATTTCGAAAGAAGTAGCCAAACCTCACGAAGATTGTGAATAATTGACAATTGGAAAATGTTTGATGGAGGCGTCGTGACTAATGAAGAATCTCAGTTGCAATGGCATTTTGCCGCATTGAATGAATCTATTATTCCCATCTTCTATACAAGAAGTGCCCTGGCTCCTCTGTTTAATGAAAGTTGAGTATTTTCCCTATTCTTTTGCATTTTAAAATCTCTCCAGAGCACTCCAACTGCCCCAATCTAATTTGGAAGCATTCATAATGAGACGAAAAGTAAAGCAGATGATGCGGCTTCTGCATAAAACACCGCATGATGCTCGACAGCCTTCGTGCCCGGAATTTCGAGCTTCGGCAGTCGTGAGTCCACTAAACAACCTGATGGAACCCAGGGAAGAATTGGAATATAGCCAACCCGGCTCTATCCACCCGGCGCATGTATCGTATCCGGCCGGCAATCTTGCAGACCCAAGCTTGACTCCTGCTCCGCTGTCCATCTCGAAGTCGCGATATGGGATTTATCTATCCTCTCGGCTCATGGAGAGGTACTAGTATGCCAAGCACTTGGTGGAAAAGGTTATAGAGTTATTTGGTCTCGATGTTGTTTACGTCGCTAGAATTGATTCGAATTTAATTGAGTCAGACAGGTCTGATGCTGTTGCCACGGTACTAGTGGCCTACGTTGCGCGAGGAGCGGAAATGCCACGGTGGATACCACCGGCGATGTAGCAGAGGCCAAATCAGGGGGCCAAATGGAGCTATAATCCTGAAGAGGTACCACAAGGGTTTGAAAGCGGATATAGCCACCGTTTTGGCAGAGAAAAGACTCAGTATGTTTTCGCCTGCTTTGCAAAGTACAGAGTTCAATATAGTGATGGCGAGCTGAAAACATTTCTTAAGCACGCTGAGGGGCTAGAGCATGCAGTCACATCACACTAAATTCTTGATCAGAGTACGTCATGTCCGCTGTAACGTTAATTTCCTCACGGCTGTGACGAACTGTTTAGGATGCCATCTTTGTATTTGTATTTACCCGACCTTGTTGAATTATTCAGTGTAGTCCACTTGGGTGTGTTTTTATGTCAAAAAGCACTTCTGGTACCGTTGATAAGAAGTAGTGCGCTTCTTCGATAGAAGTGCAGTACAGTTCATTATCTCATTAGGATAGATACTGTCTGTATGTTGTCGGGGTCTGGAGAAGTAACAAAACAGTCCTTATAATCAACAGATCTAACTTGAGACCAGCTTGCCACCTGCTCATCTGGCTATTTATGACCTGAAGGACAGCCAGTGAATTATCTTTTACATGCCTTGAGACATATTCGACTACACACTCGCTACCCAAAGCTATAAGTCTATTAGATAGGTGACGTGCATGCAAGATCTCCACCGCGTTTAGTCTACTTCGGAGTATTGATCGTGGAC